ACGACTCCTCCATCTCTCTTATAAGTGTTTGACTTTTGATTTTGGTCCCTTTTTGTCTTCTTCCACAAGCCTACATATGTGCTTCTTCTTCTTTTTGCTTACCCTCTATCATGGCTTTCGTGCTCCAATTAGATCATAACTCTCCTAGTTCTTTTTAACTATTCCAATTAATTTTTGAGACTAATCTAGTCTCAATCTAATGGTCATGGTCACAATTTCATTAGGACCATTTGATGGGAATTAATTCCATCATTAGCAAAAATTCCTAATCATTTCCTTGTTGACTTGGCTTGACTTTATTAGTTTTCATGGAATATACTTGTCCAGCCAGGATTAAGCTATAATTAACCTTTTCTCTTAATCATAATTAGGTGTACATGAGATCTAATGGGTCATATGGCTTGTTGCCACAATTTCTAGCCAAATTTTGTTTTATTTCTCTTTGCACGTGATTTTGGGCTTCTTTAGGGGCATTTTGAGCAATTTTTATTCTTGATTTTTTGGCTTGTTTCTTTGCATATACAAAAACCTCCATATATGGGCTATCTATCATAAGAATTTCAAATTTTATATCATCCATTTACTTATCCAGATCGGGCTTGTATTTTAAGTACTTATAGGGGTATTTTGGTCATTTTGATCAAATTTTGCAGTTATATTTATTTTTTATTTTTAGATCTTTCTAGACCTTGCATAATTTTTATAAAAATATTTTTGATATTTAAAAATTAATAGAATTTTTTGAGTATTTATTATTTTTTATTACCAATTTCTTTATCGATCGGTTCCGTTTCAATTAATTTTGCTAAAATTATTTGAAATGTCAAGTTTCTATGTACAAATTATTTCTAATTCATTAAAATTAATATGATCTAACATTTATTTATAAAATAATAAAAATTTGGAGTGTTACACATTGGTTTACCACACCAGAGAATTAGATAATGCAATTGAATCTTAAAACTAAGTTAGAAACATAAATTTCTACTTGAGTGAGAATTAAGTTGCAGTTTAATTATAAATCATTTTATTATTTTATTTCATTCGTGATTTGCATATTTTTTCTTTTGTATTTTTGCAATTTCAACATTATCCCATATTACTTTATATACCTTTTCTAAATTTTCATAATTCTAAATTGTTTTATAATTTTGAATTGTTTTTCTAAAACTCTTTGACAATGATATATTATTATAAAATCATGTACATTGAATTGTTTCTTGCTTTATTCTATGCCAATTGTTCAATCTAAGTGACAATCGTTGTTATATTTCTATACACACTAAAATGATTGCTAGAATTACCAAGTTTGCTTGACCAAACAAAGGATAACATTAGTAGGGTCTACATATTTATGATGCATACATGATATGACATGAAGTGTAGTTGAGAAAGCAGTATAATAATTCTCAATTTAAAAACATGTGGTTCAACTTTCTTGTGCATGCCTCTGTGTGTGTGTGCACACGTATATGTATGTGTTTGTTTGACACTTATTTTGACCAATTTTGACAACTGTGTTTACCCCAATATCGAACTAATTTTGGACATCATTTTCACCATAATTCTAAATTTTAGGCATTGTTTGCCCCTACTTTGAGTAACTATGAGCAATTGCTTTTGCCCCAATTTTGAATTTTGTTGAAAAAATGCAAGCAATTACATGTGCCTTAATTTAGAATATTTTTTTTAAAAACATTGTTTTCTATATCTTCAGAAAAAAAATTTGGCAATGGTAAATGTCCTAAACTTAGAATGGTTTGGTCAGCCTATTTGCCCAATTTTTAAATGTCTTTTTAGACAATCTCATTTGTGTTAAGATGAACTATCATAAGTATGATATTCACTCTTTTATTTTCAAAATTTTAGGTGTTATTTCTATTTGCATTAAGAACCTTTGAGCAATCTCATTTGCTTGATGAATCCACATTTTATTGAATTTTTACTTGTCTTTTTAGTGTTCTTTGATAGAAAAAATAGATTTAGGGAGTATAAATAACATAGAAACATCATTTTGGTCAAATATCATAAGTTTCTTAATTTTTGGCTAATTTACATTGATTTACATAGATATAATTTGTAATTTTAATTATTTGAATAATTGTGTAGGAATTTCTAAGCTTATTCCATGAATTTTTAGCCTTTGAGAAAATTTGAGTTGAAAGTGACCACTTTCAGAAGTGATAGTGGACACTACAGCAAGATAGATCCAAGGTGCAGACCAAAGTGATCACTTTTAGGGTAAGGCAAAATGCATGAATTGAGGGAAAACACTTTGCCTGAAACATTGATGAGTGAAGAGTGAAACACCATCTTGTGAGCTAGATAATTCCTTTGCATTATGTGGATTGCATGAAACCTTGTTGGATTTTCATTTCAGTTCAGTGGGACTTTGCATGAAAATATTTGATAAGAGTGTGATTTCTTTGTTGAATGAATCCATGATTTTGGAAATGTTGGAGTGCCAAATAGAGTCTAATATTGGAATGAAATTTTTGAGAAAATTTTTTGGATAAATTCAACCCTTTCACATGCAACTTTCTTAAGTTTTGATTTGCTTGAGGACAAGTAAAAGTTTAAGTTTTGGGTTGTGATGAATTCACATTTTATTAGATTTTTACTTGTCTTTCTAGTGTTCTTTGATAGAAAAAGTAGATTTAGAGAGTGTGAATAACATAAAAACATCATTTTGGTCAAATATCACAAGTTTCTTAATTTTTGTCTAATTTACATTGATTTACATAGATATAATTTGCAATTTTGATCATTTGAATAATTGTGCAGGAATTTCTAGGCTTATTCCATGAATTTTTAGCCTTTGAGAAAATTTGAGTTGAAAGTGACCACTTTCAGAAGTGATAGTGGACACTACAGCAAGATAGATCCAAGGTGCAGACCAAAGTGATCACTTTTAGAGTGATAGTGGACACTACAGAGACCCCAGTCTAAAGAGGGCCTGCGCATAACCACTTTGAGCTCCATAGTGAACATTCTAGAGAAGGCCAAATTGACCTAGTCCTGTGCGTAGCCACTTCCACTCCATAGTAGCTACGCGTACTGCATATAGTCACTTTGAACTTCATAGTGGATACTCTAGAGAGGGATGGCAACATGGGAGGCTGCGCGTAGCTACTATGGGCAACGACCACTGCACTATAAATAGAATTTTAGAAATTAGGGTTGTGGATTTTTTTTACACTTTTAGATTTTTTCCATTTTGGGAACACTTGCAGAGCTTAACCTAGGGTTTGAGTGATAGTCAAGGACTTAACCTAGGGTTTGATTCATATTTCTCTTTATTTCCCTTTGATTTTACATTCATGTCATTGAATTCTCTTCATTTTCCTCTTGTATCTGTGAAACTCATTCTCATGGAAGGCTAGATCCTTTGTAATCCTTAGTGAGTTCACCTGAATTCTTGAATTTCTAGGTTATGAATGTTAATATAATTCCTTTTCCTTCATGAATTTCATTTTCCCAATCTTTTGAATTAAATTAATGATTGAATAAAGGGGACATTGCTTAATTAACCCTAATTCGTTTTAATGAGATTCTTAACTTGGGTTGCTTAATTCTGAATTAATTTCTAAGGTTGCATAATCTTGAGAAAATGGGTTAGAGTCTATTGAATTTGCTTAAATTTGTATGGGGTTTTGAGATTGATCCTCACTTGTTGAATTAATATAATTCAGAGGAAAAGAAAAAGTATTAAATATTGAGAGGAATAGGGATAGAATCACGTGAATGAACTAAGGATTGCTACATTTTATTGATTGAATTTGATAATCTCGTTACTTGCTTTTTACATTAAATCTGGAAATCAAACAAACCCCATTTTTACTTGCTTTCATAATGAATGTATATAACATGTTTAATGCACATTTTCAACCAAAGTCATCGAAGACAACCTAGGCTTGCATCCTAGACTACACAAACTTTGATGAGGATTAACGACAAATCTTTATGCAATCCAAGCGATCAACAAATTGGCACCGTTATTGGGTACTTTGGTGTTAATTTTGCATTGAACTTGTTAATTATTTTATTTTAGTGTTCTATTTTTAATTTTTCTGCATTTTTGCTCTGTTTCTGCTGCATAATTCTACAGAATTTGTGACTATGTGTTATGTTTTTCTTGTAATAATTTACAGTTTCTTTCTATTTCTTGTTGCTTAGTGTTATTGCTTTATTTTACTGCACTTAGACATTAGTTTTCTACATAATTGTTATCTGCATTTTTCTGCATTTTGCTATTTCATTTAGTTTACTTCTTTTCACTACTCATAGTTAATTTCTAGTGCATGACCAGATCAAATCCTAGAGATGTATTCACTTGATCCAGAGATTAATAGGACATTTCATAGTAACATTAGAATACATAGGCATAATTCTGAACATTTTAAGGAACCTTCATCTTCTTCATCTATCTACTTATTACCACATTCTTTAAATTCTAAATTAAACCAAACGATTGGCAATGAAAGAATATTAAAGGAACTGGCTGCATCTTACGTAACTTATCAAACTTTATGCATATAGTATCTTAACATTGATGCACCCATTGTTCTTAAGACAAGACTAATACACTTGTTACCGAGATTCCATGGCCTTGCAGGTGAAGATCCACACAAGCACCTCAATGAATTTCACATAGTTTGTTCAACCATGAGGCCACAAGGTGTACTTAAGGAGTACATTAAATTGAAAACTTCTCATTATCTCTCATGGATGCAGCGAAGAATTGTCTCTACTATCTCCCTCTCAGATCTATTACTAGTTGGGACAACTTGAAGAGACTTTTCCTAGAGAAATTTTTCCCAGCATCTATAGCTACATCTATAAGGAAGGAAATTTGTGGGATAAGGCAACTTGAAAGATAGACCCTCTATGAATATTAGGAAAGATTCAAAAGGTTATGTGTCAGCTGCCCTCACCATCAAATTAATGATCAATTGTTAATCCAATACTTTTATGAGGGACTGCATCCCATGGATAGGAGCATGATAGACGTCGTAAGTGGAGGGGCATCGGTAGATAAGACTTCGGTTGCAGCTCGCAACTTGATTGAAAACATGGCTGCCAACTCTCAACAATTTACAACAAGGCAAAACTCTTGTGTTATCAAAAATGTAAGTGAAGTACAAGTTACTAAATCTAGTAAGCTGCAACACAAACTTGATGAGTTAACATCCATAGTAAAGCAATTGGCTTCCATGCAAAATAGTGTTGCTGCATCTTTACCTCTTCCACCATCTATTCCAGGCATGCTATGTGGCATTTGTTCAGCTACAGACCATTACACTGATAGTTGTCCTACACTGCAAGAGTCTGACGCTTTAAAAGGTAATCCTCAGCCTTATGTTGCAAATATCAATACTAATAAGTTTCCTTTTCAAAATTTGCCGCAACAGCCCAATTGGGATCTATCTTCCAATAGATACAACCTAGGCTGGAGGAACCATCCAAATTTGAGATGGGAGAATAATTCTCAATAGCAAAACTAGTAGCAAGGCAACCAATATCAAGGACATCATGTTGGCCCAAATAGGTCCCATCAATCCCAACATCAACCACAACAAGTCCAGCAACATCACTTATCATCTTCCTCACAACCAAGTGCATCACAAAAAAATAAACCATCATTGGAAGAGCTTATGAAGCAATTAACCATGAACAACATCACTTTCCAGTAGAGAACCGAGGCTAGTATCAAGACTTTGGAGAATCAAGTGGGACAACTAGCCTCCTCTCTAAACTAGATGCAATCTCAAGGCTTATAGAACCTCCCTGCACAAACAGTTGTAAATCCTAAAAATGTGAGTGCAATCATCCTAAAACTTGGAAAAGTGATGCAAGTGCCCACAATGCCTAAGGAGAAAGAAGACTTAAGTTGTACTGTAGCTAGAGTTGATCAACATGGAGAGGAAAAGATTCAAGAACAACCAGAATCTATGCCTGCCCAACCCAAGGAAGCAAAAAATGTTGAAAGAGCAATTCATCTATCATTCCCTCAGAAAGTCATCCAGCCAAGTAAGAAGATTGAAGAGGCTGAGAAAGAAATTTTAGAGACCTTCAAGAAGGTAGAGGTGAACATACCCCTACTAGATGCAATCAAGCAAATACTCAAGTATGCCAAGTTCTTGAAAGATTTGTGTACTCACAGGAGGTGTCTTAAGGGTAATGAAAAGGTAAACATGGGTATGAATATTTCTGCACTCTTTGAGAAACTAAAGTCCACAATGCTTAAGAAATGTAAGGACCCAGGAACATCCACCATCCCATGCATCATTGGTAATAATAGGATTAAGAATGTCATGTTAGATTTAGGAGCATCCATAAATAGCATGCCATTGTCCATTTTCACTTCACTATCTCTTGGCCCTCTACAGCCTACAGGTGTAGTTATCCAGTTAGCCAACAGGAGCATAACAAACGCAGTTGGGATTGTTGAAGATGTGCTAGTCAAAGTAAATGATCTTATCTTTCCAGCTACCTTCTACATCCTAGATATGCAAAAGGGAGTATCAATGAAGAGTGTTGAACCCATTATCCTAGGAAGACCATTCTTGAAGACCGCAAGAACAAAAATTGATGTGCAAGTCAGGACACTCACTATGGAGTTTGGGGACAACATTGTGCGCTTCAACATATTGGATACCATGAAGCACCCATCTGAAGAACATTATGTCTTCCAAATTGATTTGTTTGATGATTTGATAAATGAACAATTTTTTGAGTTTTAAGAAGAGGACTTTTCTCTTAAGTTTCTAAATTTATAGACACTCCCATTTGTGAATATTGTAATAATTCTTCTATGTGTGACACTTGTATTTCTGACTTTTTGAATGTGAATTCTGTAACTTTTAATATTGGAGAAATTGAAAAATTAGTAGGGGTAGAATGTGATTTATTGAGTTCAGGAAGTACTGTTGAATCTAACCTCTTTGATTTGAATGTTGTAAAAATTTCTTCTACTGAGAGTGCCAAATCACTTCCTTTTGTGGAGCAACATCCCATACTGGAGCTCAAACCCTTGTTAGAACATTTGAAATATGTCCATTTAGGAGAAAATGAAAAGCTTTCAGTGATAATCTACACCAAGATGAATATTGATCAAGAGGAGAGACTCCTTGAAGTGATAAAGAGGCACAAGAAAGCTATAGGCTGGACCCTCGGTGATATTCTTGGAATCAGCCCCTCTTTATGCATGCACAGAATACTGTTGGAGGAGGTGCTAAGCCAGTGAGGTAGCCTCAGAGGAGGGTAAATCTCATCATTTTGGACATGGTGAAGAAGGAAGTCACCAAGTTACTGCAGGTTGGGATCATCTACCCTATCTCAGACAGCATTTGTGTCAGCCCGATCTAAGTGGTTCCAAAAAAATCTGGACTCACTATGGTGAGGAATGAGAAAGATGAATTAATACCCACCAGAGTTCAGAATAGTTGGAGAGTCTGTATAGACTACCAGAGACTAAACCAAGCAACCCGGAACGATCATTTTTCATTACCCTTCATTGACCAGATGCTGGAAAGGTTGGCTGGTAAGTCTTATTACTATTTTCTTGATGGTTTTTTTCAGTTATTTTTAAATTTGTATAGCACCTGAAGACCAGAAAAAAACCACTTTTACATGTCCTTTTGGCACTTAATTTTTCCTATAAGAGAATGCCTTTTGGCTTGTGCAATGCTCCAGACACATTTCAAATATGTATGTTAAGCATTTTTCTGACTTAGTGGAACATTGTATATAAGTTTTTATGGATGATTTCACTGTATATGGCCTATTTTTTCCTACATGCTTAGCTAACTTGGAAAAAGTTTTGAAAAGATGCATTAACACTAACCTTGTGCTAAATTTTGAGAAATGTCATTTCATAGTAGAACAAGGTGTAGTGTTAGGTCATATTATATCTGAAAAAGGCATTGAGGTAGATTCTACAAAATTAGATGTTATTGCATAATTGCCTCACCCCTCTTGTGTTCGAGAGGTTCGTGCTTTCCTTGGCCATGCAGGGTTCTACAAGAGATTCATAAAAAATTTTTCCAAAATTGTCATTCCTCTTTCTAAGCTTTTGCAAAAGGAGGCTAAATTTAATTTTGATGAAAAGTGCAAGCAATCATTTAATATGCTTAAAGAAGCCCTGACCACCACACCCATCATCCAACCCCCAGATTGGATTAAGCCATTTGAATTGATGTGTGATGCATCCAATTTTGTAGTAGAAGCTGCCTTGACACAGAGAGTTAGTAAGTTTCCTCATATCATTTATTATGCTTCTAAAACCTTGGATCCAGCACAATGTAATTACATCACAACTAAAAAAGAATTGTTGACCATAGTCTTTGTATTGGACAAGTTTAGGTCATATCTTTTAAGATCAAAAGTTGTAGTTTTTACTGATCATTCTGCCTTGAAGTATTTGCTGAAAAAGACAAATTTTAAGCCCAAACTAATAAGATGGATGCTTTTACTTCAAGAGTTTGATTTAGAGATCAAGGATAGAAGTGGAACTCAAAATCTGGTAGTTGACCACCTGAGCAAAATAGAAGGAGTTCTTGACCCTATTATACTTTTGGATGATTTTCCTAACGAGCAACTCTTAGAGTTGTATGCTTCGCAGACAACCCTGGTATGCTGACATTGTTAACTTTCTTGTTGTAGGAGCCTTTCTAGCAGATACACCAAGAGCTAAAAAGGAAAATATAAGGAGTGATGCTAAACATTAAGTTTGGGATGACCCTTATTTATGGAAATTCTGCAGTGACCAAGTCATCAGAAGGTGCATACCTGATGAGGAGATTTCATTCATACTACAATTATGTCATGCCTCAGCTATAGGAGATCATTAAGGACCCCAAAGGACAGCAAGGAAAGTGTTAGATTCAGGACTGTACTGGCCCTCAATTTTCAAAGACTCGTGTCAAATATATTCCACTTGTGATATGCCAAAAAGCAGGAGGAGTAATTACTCAGAGACAAAAGATGCCCCAACAGCCCATCCTATATTGTGACATCTTTGATGTTTGGGGTATTGACTTTATTGGACCCTTCCCTTCATTTTTTGGTTTTCTTTATATACTTCTTACTGTTGATTATGTCTTAAAATGGGTGGAAGCTAAGGCCACCAAGACTAATGATGCAAGAGTTGTTACAGATTTTGTCCGTAGCAATTTGTTTTGCAAGTTTGGAATCCCTAGAGCAATCATTAGTGACCACGGGAGTCACTTCTGCAATAAGACAATGAAGGTCTTGTTGGAAAAATATGGAGTTGTACATAAAGTTTCCACTACCTATCACCCATAAATAAATGAGCAAGTTGAGCTCTCTAACAGAGAAATCAAGAAAATACTTGAGAAAGTAGTGTAGCCCCACAGAAAGGACTGGAGCCGAAGGCTTGATGACTCCCTGTGGGCACACAAAACCGCATTTAAGACACCATATAGGGTGGTTTATGGAAAAGCTTGCCATTTCCTAATTGAGGTAGAACACCAAGCATACTGGGTAATGAAGACTTGTAATATCCATTATGACTCAGTTGAAGAGCAGAGGAAGTTGCAACTGCAAGAGCTAGAGGAGTTGTGTCCTGAAGCCTATGAGAACTCAAGAATTTACAAAGAAAAGACCAAGAGGTACCATGACAAGATGATCTCAAGAAAAGAATTCTACGTTGGTCAAAAAGTCCTCTAGTTCAATTCTCGCCTCAAACTCATGCTCGAGAAGCTCAAATCAAGGTGGATTGGACCCTTCACAGTCACAAAGGTATTTCCTCATGGTGCAGTAGAAATCCAAAGTGACTCCACAAGTAAAAGCTTTATGGTAAATGGGCACCGTTTGAAGCTATTCTTGCAAAACCCAGTTACTTTGGAAGAAGTTGAGGAGATTGACTTGCACTCACCATGCACAAATCTCAACCACAGCCCTTGGCCTGAGTAATTCACTTCATACGTCAAGTTAGTGACGTTAAAGAAGCATTGTGTGAGAGACAACTCACAAATTCATAGGAATTTTTAGTTTCTTTTGCATTTAATAAAAAGTCTTATGTTTGAGCTGCAATAATTGATGAATTCCTGCAAAATTTTGCTGCTAAAGCTCTTCATTTTGCACTATGCTTATTAATTGACATGATTTTCTGCATATTCTCAAGTTTTTATAGTGGGAAATTGTAAATTTTGGTCTGGGTTCATGCATAAATCTAAGGAAATTCAAGTGTATAGAGAAATTACCATTTCCACCTCACAACACGGTCACTTTGGAGAAGAAGTTTCAATTTCATCATCAGAGGTGACCACTTTCAATTTCATAGTAGTCACTTTCAGCTGAGCAAAAATGGTCAACACACCTAGAAAGAATCCTCCAAGACCCAAGAGAACCAAGACAACTGGTGCATATTCATCCAGACCTCCATCTGCACATGACCCTAGATTTTGGTCATTGGAGCATGAAAACTACTTCAAGACCAACATTCTGAGAAGGCAATTGGTGCAAGACAAGAATTCTAAAATCCAGGAGGGCATATACACTCAGTTCCAGGAAGAAATTTAGAAAAGAGGTTGGGACCTCTTCACCACTTATGCTGGAATGGGTGGAAAGAAATCACCCAGGAATTCTATGCAAATACCATGAGGGTAAAAGGCGATACTCTTCCCTCTAAACACAACATGGTGAGGGGAAAAGAGATCAATTTCAACCCCTCTAACATCTAAAGAATTCTAAACATCACAGCTATGCAGAAACTAGATGGACAACTGGATTGCTCTACATTCAACATCCTAGAAGATAAGAACTACAAGCCTATCTTTCAAGCCATCTCAAGCAGGGTGAAAACTGGGAGTTTGACACAAGAATGCAGCCTAAGAACCTGACAACAAGACACTTGATTCCTACAGCTAAAGTTTGGAGTGTTTTTATCCTCAGCTTTTTCATGCTGGTCATCCATTCCTCTACATTGGCAGTGAAGCAAGAAAAGCTCACATATGTCATCCTCACAGGCATGCGTATCCACGTTGGAGGTAATCAACAGTGTATTATGGAGATCCTGAGCAGCAGCTGGGACTCCTTTGGTTTTTCTTCTATCATTGTCATGTTGTGTCACGATACTATGGTCGACTTTGGAGACTACCAGCACAAGGTCTGAGCAGTCCTTCCAATATCCACAACTATGGTGAAGGAGCTGTTTAAGCCCAAAAAGACTACTGATCTAGGATTGTCACTACCAGCTGAGTACAAGAAAGGCGCCTCACTGAAGATGAGAGAGCAGATGAGACATACATGCTGGTCAGAAAGCCCTAATAACTCTGATGGACACTATGCTTCTGAACATAGGAAAGAAATTGGGGATGACTTCTGCACAACTGTATGATGCCCTCACCTCCAGTGCTTCTTACCTTCGAGCAGCGGTCCAGAGTGATCTTCCACCTTTTACTACCACTATCCCAAGAAAAGCTGATGTAGAGGAAAGCAGCACTAGCTCCTTAAAAGAAGCACCAGTAGCAGCAGAGGAGGATGCTGACAATGATGATGACTCTCTCTCTTCTAGCTCAGATTAAGATGTCATTTAGTTTTAGTTTCTTTTTCATTACATCTACTTTTCACTTACTTTCTTCCATTTCCCTATATATTTTATTAGCTACTATTTCCACGTAATTCTCGTACATTCTCGCTGTTATCTTTATTGCTTTACTTTCATATCCTTCCTTCTATCTTGAACAATATAGGACATCTGCACTCTTATATATATATCATTCATATTTCACTTTCATATTTGCTCTCTATACTGAATTCTGTGTGTATTTGTGTAGAAAATGCCCTCAGCCCATCGAAAGGACGATGAAATTACCGCTGAATTGTGAATCCATCGTCCATGAAAGGGGGTGATCTCTTTGCCTCTATTTCATAAAGTGTTCAGTCTAAATTCCTTGCACAGTAATAGACAAAAACATACAAAAATATATTTCCCCTTTGTTTTTTCATTTTAAATTTAGTCCAGTTTTGTAGTTTCAATTTTATATTCTGATTGCACTTCCCATTCAACTCACAATCATTCTCTGTTTTATAAATATTTACCATTCCTACCATACTGAATATATTTTCTTGTAAGGTAAATTATACTCACATGTTGCTAAGTAATCATCACTTTTTGCCATGGTAGAGAATTGGGCCTTAAATTTCTTTTCTATGTGCGCTTTACATGACTTTTTGCATCTATCCTCTAGAACTTGTACTGTTTCTTACTTGAATATGCAT